GAACGAGTATTTATACTCATTTCGTACGAAATTCCACGTATTTTAATTAATCGGACTGAGCAAATTGAAAATTACACGTAGATAAACACAACCGGACACGCTGGCATGTTTTGGCCCGTCGACGGGTTTTAAGTCTATTTTGCAAACGTAAGACAAGGTACAGATTATATTGCAATTATTTGAAAGTTTGGATTAAATTGCCAAAAGTGAAAAGGTCGAGGTTTATTTGGCAATTAACCCAATATTATAAGACATATTTATGGATGTTATATTTAAATCACCGCTTTATTTTGTTCTATGTAGTTCTCGATTGGTCAATACTTTGAACTCGTTTTCTTTGAGATCTCATGTGTAAGAACCCGTGTTCATAGCCTATTCTCGTTATTTTCATATCGTGACGTGTTGATTTGATGGTTTATTAATTGTATTCATGTTGTTATGTTGATTTGTTTCCATTCTCTAAAAAAAGATAAAAAAAAATAAAAAAATGGGGACTTGGCATTGTTGGTCTTGAGCTTATTATTTTTTGTATTTTGTTAGACCTTGCATTGCATCGGATTGCGATTTGAGGTCGTGAGTAGATGCCTTTTGCACGTGTATTTGCTAAAAGGGGAGTTTGAATCGAGTAAACCATGTGTAGAATGACTTAGGATGAATATTTGTTTTGTATGAATCTATTTTTTGGAGACGTGTTTTCGAACTTTGGATAACCGGGAGAATAAGAGAGTTACATTAAGCATGATCATTATTTATGGACCTTTCGATTTTTTTTTCGAATAACTTGTTATTTGTTTGAGGACAAACAAAGAGCTAAGTGTGGGGGAGTTGTTCGTTATGTTCTTGTGCTTATTTTTATGTGTTTTAAGTGTTTAGTCGAGTTGTTTCTAGGTTAGTTTTCTTGTTTAACTGGTCAATTTTTGTTGGTTTCATGTGTTTTTACTTTCGTTTTGTGTTGTGTTTTGTCGTGCTTTCCCATGTCTTTTGGTGTTTTATAGGTCCTTTTATTCGAATATTCAAAAAGGAGGAATCGAGCCAAGTCTCGAGCGTAGTAGTCAAAACCGAGCACTTATCATCTCCGTCCATTTCTAAGCATTCGAGCACAAGTTTCCCGCTAATTCTGAGAATAGTGAGAAGGTCCCGAGGAATATTCGTTGTTGCCTGACAAAATTCAAGTGTTTGCCGAGAGCAGACACGTGCCCAGCGACCCGCTCGCCCACACGAGCACTTCGCGCACTTGTCAGAAGTCGTGTCCAGCGACCCGCTTGCCTGAATGCCTGCAGCGACCTGCTCGCGCGCGCAAGAGCGTCGCATGAGCATTTTGCCTGTGCACTTGCAGAGACCCGCTCTCCCCAGCAAACATCCCGCGCGAGCGCCTGCCAGCGCCAGACCCGCTCGCCCTAGCGAACATTTCACGCGAGCGCCCGCCAGCACGAGTCCTACTCGCCCCAACATTTCTGCGCGAGACCCGCTCTCCCCAGCGACCCCCTAGGCCTGCCACACACTCGCCAGCACAAGAGACCGGGCAAACACCTCGCCCGATGAATATTGTCCGCGCTCGTCTTGCGAGTTTTCTGCCAAAAACCTTAGCTGGAAAGTGTGTTTTAGTAATTGTGTATTTTCCTCGTGTGTGGGTGGTAGTATAAATACATTTGTTCCTTTGCATTTTAAAAACTTAAACTTCATTTTGTTTAATTTTCACTTTAGGAATTGCTCTTTTTCTTATTTTCTCTCTAGACTTAAGCTTGTGGAGGTTCAAACTCGTATTTTCTGGTGATTTTCCGGCGATGCTCTTTCTTATTAAAGTTCTCACCTTTTCGCGTTTATTTTGCTCGAGAATGCATTAGGGAAGTAAGTACCTAATTTATGACTTATTATCTCAATTTCGCTCTATTTTTGCTTACTTTGTGATAAGAGGTAAAAATAGTTTCTTAGTCGTAATTTATGTGTTGAGCTCGATTTTAGTTAAACTTTTCATCTTTTATCTTATTATTCTTGCCTAGGGTATTTAGTTTGTTAAACTTTGAATCTTTCGAGGTAAAAGTCGAGACTTTCTTAAAAGGTCGATATTTCGCAAATTGATCGTTCAACTTTTAGATTTAGCTTATTTCTCTTAATTTGGGTCTTTTTGCAGTGTTTGAACACTTCGATTCAAGTAAAGTTTATATCTTGCTTTAAAGCTTGCACCTTTGTTAATTGCTCTTAAATTTCCTAAGTAATTTTAGTTAAAATCAAACCCAAATCTCTTGTTAGCATGTCTAGGACTTTCATTTTTCGTTTTTATACTTTAGACATTTATTAGTAATCGAAGCTCTGAATTTTTTTGTTACTTCTCCCGCATGAAGTTTAATGCTTGGTCGATATTAAATTTTTATTCAAATAAACATATCACAGGCAGGGGCGGATCTCTAAAGGGATCAGTGTGGGCCTGAATTTTTCAACAATTTTTTTAAAGAGTATCGAACATATTGAAAAATTTACATTTGAGGAAACTTATAATAATAGACAATACACATGTTACCTATCTCTAAGGTATAAAATGACCTAACTTTTTCTCTCCATCATCAATTAATTTTTATTTTTGAGAATCAACATTATTTATCTTATTTTGTTTACTTTTAAAACTTGATATATCCCTGATTAATTGCTTAATGTAACTTATTGTAAGAAGAATTAATTACAAATATTTCTTATTTGTGTTAATCCAGAATGAAAATTGTTAACTTGATTCTAAAATTTTTAGTGGATTTAATAATTTGTATAAATATATATACTTCCACATAAATTAATTTAAATTATATTTATAACTTTAATGGTTAATCTACTTTTTTTAGAAATTAAACAAAAGAAAAGGAGAACATCGATGTGATATAACATCTTTTTTCATTTCTTTCATTCTATCAAGGTTAATCTTGCTGAACTTATGAAAATAACTCCAAAATCAATAAAAACATTTGTTTCATAAGAAATAATAATTCACTAACATGCTTCCACCTAGCATTAATTCACATTAATTTCAATTATTATATTTTTTTATTGTATATTCATTTACAATCTTAATTTATCTCCTTTTTTTTTTATTTCTATTTTCGGATAAAACAAGATTTTTGAATTTTTATTACAATCGCAATTTATTTTATAATTGAGATGATTCGCCCTTGGTCACAAGCACAACAACCCCAACACTAGGGATGACAATGGGGCGGTCGGGCCGAGTAGTTGTCTACCCAGACCTGCCCCATACTCTACAAGCCGTGCCCCGCACTCAAAGTAGTTGGCTACCCAGACCTGCCCGTACTCTACAATCCGAGACCTGTCCAGGTCGGGTCAGACCGACCCGCACTGTATATTTTCCCAAATCAATAATTCCAATGGAATTTCGAAACAAAAAACTTTAGCCAGAAACAAAAATATTTAAACTCATTTTTATCTTCATTGATTAATAGAAAAAGCAAATTAAAAAAAATGTAGATCTAGAATTACAATTAACCAAATATTAAACAAAAATAAAAAACAAATTCCAATAAAATGGACGGCCGGTTGCAAGATGTTAGGATGGTGGTGAGAAGATCTATAATTTAGGGGGAAAATATTTTTGTGGGTATACTCGTGAAGAAGAATCGAAGAGAGAAGGTCGGCGATTTATTGCGAGAGATATTTCCGGCGACAAGCAGAACTTGGGAGAGATGAGTTGTTTTTTGTGGACTTTTTTCTATATTAAATAAATAAATCAATCGGTATTCTAATGGGTGGAGATGAGAAAAAGTGGCTTTTGGACATTTATTTACGTGAATGGTTATGGGAAGAAGTTGGGCCTGGCCTGGTATTACCACGGGTCCGGTTAAAAAACCGGTACATACAGGCCGGTTCTGGGTTGACCCAGTGGCCATTTCTACTCAGCAGCCCCCACACTCCGTGTGTAACTTGTCCATGTATATATACATACATGCTTTCATCGTTAGCGGAGATTCTGTTCAGTGTTCTCACACACGGGGCCCACAGAACAGCCAACTTGAAAGAAGCATCCAAATTTCCAAAGATCCCTCTCAGTTTCCAGCCAGGTTTTCGTTTGTGATTTCTTTCTCTAATAATTTTCAATGGTGGTAAATAATTTGGGCCTCAATATTATTCTGGTCACACTTTTTACAAACTTCCTTTGAAAAGATTCAGCCAATTAACACACGCCTCCGTTTCACAATTCGTTGCGAATTTGAACACCCTTTTCATCCAAGTACACAAAACCCATTTGATATTTCTCCAATTTTCTTGGATGCCTGCAAGTATTTATCTTCAGCTGAAATTAAACTTTGGAACTTAGCACGAAAAGTTTTATTTAGTATTTTGCTTTTACTTTCTTGGAGGATCAAATATTGAACCTTTGCTGTTTGTTAAACGACAAGGATGGCTGGGGCTGTGTCTGTAGTGGGTTCGTCTTTGGTTGAATCGAAGCCTTGTCCGTGCCTGTGTTTTGATGCTCTGCCTTCTTGCAATTTGACCGGTGGAGATTTAATCTCGCAGAGGAATACAATTGGTAGAAAGCATGCGCCTCGTTTGGGTTCGTTGGATTTGAGAAGTTCATTTCTTGATTATTCCTCGGTTAGAACTCTTTCGAGTGCGAAGATTCTGAGGAAGCAGAGGAAAAATAAGAGTCTTGTGGTGGTAGATGAACTGGCTGGGCAGTATGAAGACAATTTTGAAGATGTGAAAAAGGTATAATCTTTGTAAGTAGTTAATATTTTGAAAGATTGAAGTTGTTTTTAGTTTGTGAATTTTTGGGATTATCCCAAGTTCTTTATTTAAAGGTTTATGATGTCAGTTGATGCAAGTATATACTAGTAAGGTAGATCTGAGTTTGAATGTGGTTCATATATTTAATATCAATCAAATCTTGATGTTACATTAGTAAATTCTGCCATGGATCATATGTCTGAACCAAATTATGTTTGATGTGATTAATGTAATCTAATAGCAGTAGATAAAAGCTTTTTTTTTTTCTTCTTGTGAACTTTCAAATCCAGTATGAGATATTTATCATATGCAAGTGCGATTCTGAATCTCCTTCAATGTGTTCTATTGGTGCTGATCAGCCTAATATTGTTATAACCAATCCTACATTTAGCAATGACAATCTCAGATTTATTTTTTATTTATTTTTCATTGTACAGCAAATTCTGGATTATTTCACTTACAAAGCTGTGAGGACTGTGTTGTACCAGCTCTATGAAATGAACCCTCCTCAGTATCGCTGGTTCTATAAGTAAGAACCACAATCCTTTTACATTTCTAGCTCGATCTTTTACACCGAAACTGGGAATTTGAATTTCCTATCCTCATATCATGATTATAAATGAAAACGTTGTTAGATACTGTACACCTCTACTCAAGTGCAAAAAAATGTGTGTACTCTATAAACTTTGTTTTAATATGTTTCTTGATTTGCTAAATGCTTTCACAGTTATGTTGCATCGAACGAACATGGTTATGGAAAGAGCTTTATCCGCAACCTTGCAAAGGTAAAATCATATTGATCAAACATTATTAATCTTATACTCATACCTAGTCTATCCCTTTTCTCTTTTATTCAAATTTTCCCTTCCTTAGGACAAGCAAGAACTTGCGGAAAGAGTGATGGTAACACGGCTTCACCTCTATGGAAAATGGATCAAGGTTTGAGAAAATGAACCAAACTACATAGTCTTATACGAATTAAAATTTATTTCAATTATTTATTTTGTGTTCTTTCTTTAGAAATGCGATCATACGGAAATGTACCAACGGATTTCAGACCAGAATCTTGAGTTGATGCGTGAAAGGCTTAAAGAGACTGTGATATGGCCCACGGACGATACCAACACTGAAGTGGTGGGTTGAAGGGCATTACAAATTGGGTGGTTCTTGGAGAAGGATGTATGTAGTATTTGCCTATTCTTTATCAGTTTTCTGCGTGTGTTCATCTGATATGTTTGGCTATTCTATCTTGTGTGTATAGGGATTCGATTTTCACGGCTATTTTAGAATTTCGTAATTGCTAGTATGGTAATAGTATGTTTGTGAATGGTTTTATGGTGGTGGGCTGCTTGTGTTCAACCAACAAATGGGTGAGCTGAAAATGGTCGGAACACAAATGGCCAAGTCAGTAGAAATGTCATGTTTTTTTATCACCTTAAATATGAGTTATCATTTGGAATTTTCTAAGTGAAGGAAAGTGATCTCTCTCTCTCTCTCTCTCTCTCTCTCTCTCTCTCTGTGATCTCTCTCTCTCTGTGACCCATGTTTTCTTTTTATTCTTGTAAAGATTTGCTTAACTGCAGGTTTGGTTGTTTGGGTATTGAACTCAGGCTTGGAATTTATGTTACAATCAACTTTTCTTGCAGCACATATATGTCCATATTACATCCTCATTTTCTCCATACAAAATCTTATCTTATACTATAAACCCAATACAGTGACATAACAAAAATATAACTTATTTTCTTTACATATAACACTTATAACACATCCTGAGGGCTTAAACCCCACCAAAAAGCTGCATTATTGCATGATTAATATATAAATCAGCTCCTGAGAAACTCCCAAGGCCCTGTCCCAGTTCCAATTCTGCAATCAAATAAACATATGAATTCGAAAATAAATTTTCAATATAAATTACAATCAACTAAAAATTTCTTTTTGTACGAAATCTGACCTCCAAAATCCAGCGAGTGCCCTTAAGCTCATATATATTGTCAACGCAATCCAGATTCCGACAAACCCGTTGCTTGATGAAAGAATGAGCAGAACAATGATGCTTACAATAGCCACTGTAACCTGCAAGAATGATGCGTAGAAAATTATATTCATCGTCGATTTAAATTTATCCATGCTAGAAGTATAATCTAGAGAAAATGAAGAACGGAAACTGAAGTGCGTACCATTGAGTAGGCTGAATACGCAAAATCAGATGCTCCAAAATTGACTCCATCGAAAACAAAGGCTAATGCATTGATAGGTTGAGTTGCTGCAACAAACTGAGATGACAAGTTGAAAACCTTATTCGTAGAATAATATGCTTTCTCCGAGTTGAATTTAATTTGACCTTTCAAATTGCAATGTGNCCCAAAGCTAACCCCAGCTGCATTTTAATAATAGTCAAATCTAAGAAAAAAAGTGATATGCAACTTCCACAAAAAAAATAAAGAAAAATAAAAAAAATAAAAAAAAAAAAATAAGAAGAAAGAAAGCTTGAATAAATTACCTGTAGCACTCTGGAAGCAGTGGCAGTTGCCCAACTGTAGTCCTTTCTAGCAAATGCACTTGCAAGTATTGCCTGAAGGAACATTTAAGCATGCTTATTCTCATTTCTTTGAATTATTAAACAAGACTTTTTACATAAAAAGAAAAAAAAGATAGTTAAAAAAACATAGGATATGCTTTTTCACCTGCCCAGCAACAGCCAAACCATCGGCTAGAAGAGAAGTTGCAAGCCATACTTGCAAGCAGACCTGAAATGCAGCCATTTGTGTTGGTCCAAGCCTTGCAGCCATTGATGCAGCTAAGGTCACACAAAATGTCACAGCTATCACTCTCGTGAGCAACAAGAAGCCTACGTTTGGTAGTGTTAAGTCAAGTCAAAATAAGGAAAGTGCATAATACAGCTTCATTTTAACCAAATGCATAAAAACACGTCACCATTTTTAAGAAATCGGCCGAATTGCAAATATTTGAGACTAGGAGGCACAAGGTCCACTTGCTCCTTCAATCTCCAAAAGAGTATTAGTGAAATCAAGTACCTTAAAAAAAAAAAAAAAAAAAAAAAAACCTGATTTCAGGTGAGATTAAGCATCTCTTTGTTTCTGCTTATCTTTATTCTCTTGCGAAGTATGAGAGTCTCGTTCGAATTCCATCTCTAAAATATCACAAGGACTCGAGGGCAAAATTTTTCTATCGCCACTTTTGTGAATAACCTAACCTCGAGGGGGACAATATTCACACTCGGCATCGAGATAAACGCGCAGGAGCTGAAGCCAGCACAATTCAATTTGATAAGAAGATGGAGTGTTTTTCCACCTTAAAAGATTATGCAGAAACCTTTTAAGGAGGATAGACGAGTCAGAAACAAGCACATCGCGTAGTGCATACCCGTCCTTATTCCAAATCTTGTTCATCGTGGAAATTTTTGTTCTTCTACTCCTTTCGGAATTCCGGGAGGAACTTTGCGTTCAAATTCCAAAGTGTGAAGAGTGGAAAGTGAGTTGCGCTCATTTAGGACTACTGACACGATTAGCTACCCGAGGAAGAGCTGACGTGTCGGCCGACGCTGTTAGTCGGAAGAG